CTGAGTGCCGATTGAGAATATTCCATGTAAACGATGTTTACACTTTGGAGAACTTTCCACTCCTTCGGAGCTGCATCGATGCGATGAGCGAGGACCTGCCCAACTCCAATGTGCTCGTGACCTTGGGCGGTGACTTTCTCGGCCCGTCGCTTCTGTCTTCGGTAGACCATGGTCGAGGAGCTGTAGCGATCATGAACGCGATTCCTGTGCATGCAGTTTGTTTCGGAAACCACGAGTGCGACGTCCCCTTTCTCAGCATGTGCCAACGAGTGCAAGAGTTTCAGGGCGTTTGGTTGAATTCCAACATCCCAACATTCTCAGAAGAAAAAGCTTTAAGCTCTCTGGCGGACAACCATGTGATGCAGCTGGCTGAGGGTAGGTCCGTCGCACTGATCGGACTTCTTTGTGGCGGGGGCAAGGATGCCAGTCTGTACAGACAGGGTGCTTTCAATGGACATGCTGCGAAGATAGTGCCAGTGCTAAAGGCTGTGGATGGTGCAGTGGCACGTGTGCGCACAGCACACCCAAACGTTGACTGTATCATCCCCATGACGCATCAGGAGATGCCCGATGACATAGAAATGACAAAGCGCGGACACAATTTTCCGGTGATTTTGGGTGGACACGATCACCACGTCTTCAACGAGGTGCACAACAACACTCACATCGTCAAGGCAGGAGCTGACATCTTCAATGTGGCCGTGGTCGACATCGTGTGGGACAAAGGACCTGCAGGATCTGAACCAACGAAGGTAAGCGTCCAAATGGTCCCTTTGGCAACTCCACCGAAGTACAACGGACCACCTCTGGAGTTGGTCTACAAGCCTGATCCTGCAGTGTTGGAGGAGGTACAGAAGAGGCAGAGGCCCGCAGAAGAGCTGAAGGAGGCAACGTTGGCAGTCTTTGAAGCAGACGGCTCTCTCACATCCATGGGTGTCCGCCTCGGAGAGCGCAGCATGGCCACTTTAATCTGCACAGCTTTGCGAGATGTTGCCGGCGGAGATGGAGCCGTAATCAATGCTGGCAGCATTCGTGGAAACAAAGCGTACACTGACGGAAAAGTACGGTTTGCCGACTTGAATGCGGAATGTCCGTACCCTTCATCGCAAATCGTGGTGAAGATTCCTGGTGCAATCCTTTTCGAAGCTATAGCAGAAAGCCGTGCACCATGGCGTGGTGCAGCATCGGCAACGCACCAACGTGCAGACTCCGCTGGCCCGGGCGCCTCAAGAGATGCTCTCCATTGTGATGATGGAATGAAGGTTGACCCGAATACTTCCATGGTCTTTGAGGTTGCCGGACAGCCTTTCGACCCGGATCGCATGTATCGAATTGTGATTGATTCTTTCATAATGCGGACAAACGTTGTTTTCAAGCGGTACGCAGAAGCTCATCCCGAAGAGATTCCCTCCGATGAGTCCGGGCAGCCAGCTCTACCGCTGTTGGTGCAATATTTCTGCAACCGAATCTGGGCAAGCCTTTGTGATGTGAACAAAGACGGTACAGTGGAGATGCATGAGATTGATGAGTTTTTTGACGAGGCTGACACAGATGGGAATGGCGAGATTGACCTAGATGAGCTTATGGTAGCCATGTCTTTCAGGCTGGGTGATTTGGATGTGAGCAGAATACTTGCTCAACAGTGCATAGGCTTTGCAGATGCCGACAAGAACGGCACCATCAGCAAGCAGGAGCTTCGTACATTCATAGAATCAGAAATTATCAAGAGATGACTCGTTTTCGGCTGAAGAAGCAGCACTGGATGCGCAGAACATCTTTTTTGCTAACGGTTGCTTCCTCTCTCCCAAGGTGAGAGGGAGGGTCCTGCCTGTGTTGCAACCGCAGCCTGGCAAGTGACAACTAAAAAAGCTTGTGCCGGTCGCAAAAAGGAAACGAATCTTCAGGTCGTGATGGGGCCAGTGAAGCACGAGAAACACTCAAGAGCTGTAATATCAAAACATGCACAGATGGGGCGGAAACGGATGAGGGATTAACCTAGGAATTCCAATATCCCGTTGTTGTCGTGAGTGTTTCTGTTTAAGCGAGAAAGGTAGACTTCATTGCACTGATACTAACCTACGAATGTCGAAGCTCGATGAGGGCGGCTTGAACATGTTGTCACGCAACAATATCACTCATAATACGGTGAAATACCAACTGAGAGCGGGCCTCCCTCAGATAATGCTTCCGTTCAAAAAAACGATAAAAATGAATTTAATCTCAGAATTTCTTGCATAAAATCTTGTCGGATTTTCGAAGATCTAGATATATCGTTATTAGGTTAGATCATAATCTTATTCTTTCATCGATTTCTTCGAATATTTCTGGGTTTATGAATTAATTTCAAATTAAGATTGATTTTTAGAATAAATTGATTTCATCTATCGAAAAAAATATATGATAATAAAATTATTCCAATAATTTTTAAAATAAAAAAAATAATAAGAGCAATCGTTAAAAATTCTGAAATTATAATGCAAAAAATAGGATGATCGTGGAATGTCGGAGCTCAATAATCTTTTTGGAAAGCGATAGTTGATAGACCCTTTGAAAGGAGTATTATGAAAGGTTAGTATTGTCGTGATTTGTATATTTTAATTTCTATAAGATATATGATTAGATAATGCATTTTTTAATAGATATTTATTAATTCGTTTCGTGATCTATTATATATTCTGGTAAAAAAAGATAATATAAGATTAAGACTCGTAATGGTAAATCTAATAGTATTACGAAAAATTGTTGTAATAATATAATTAATAAAAATATAAATAATAATGATGATAATTATAATATTACTAAATAATAATAATGATAAATATTATTAGAAATAAAACATAATGATATTAATAGAAATATGAAAACAAATAGGTTGAATCGATAATTTTCGCAGAAAAAATAGTTAATATTAACGATATCTCTAAAGAATTCGCGCGAAAGAATAGTATATTATATAATTCTTACTTATATAAAAAATTCACTATCTCTTAGAAATATATATATATATAGAATATCTTCAGAATAAATTATCTAAAAATTGATGAATCTTCAATTCGTAATATTGTATGTAAAATAAATCAAGAATCTTGGGATTGAATATTTATGAAATATGATATATTGTGCTCCTCCAAAATATCGATTGTTAATATTCTTCTCGAAAGCTATCCAAATTCATTGAATCTAATGAAAATAAATTTTCCGAGAGCCATCAAAATTCTTAGGATATTCTGCTCGTAAAATATTTTTGTCGAATTTAAAATTCTATCATTGTTTTGAAATCGCAAGAAATCTGTCGAAGAAGAATTATGACAAGAATATTGAGAAAATAATTCGAAAGAATTAGATTTTATATAGAAAGCAAGCAAAGATCGAGATCATAAATTCTTTATTAGATAATTAGAATGAAATCGTTATATTTAATAGCGGGTGGCAGGCGATCGACATATATTTTTTCATGATGAAATAAAAAGATTAATTTGCTACAGACGAAATAAAAATCATTTTTTTATGAATTCAAAATTTATCAAAATTTATTCAAGATCAAAAAAGATCCAAAGAGTTGTCGTAGACGATATATTTTATCAAATTAGCGCAAATATCTAGGATCGTTTCTGCGGCTATGGAATTGGTAAAGTCGTTCAATCTAGCACACGGTAATCCAATTACATCGGAGCGAGCTAAAAAAACTTATTTTTTATTGCAATACGACAATCTATGCGATATTTGACCACAAAATCGAATTTTAAAAGATATCTATAAAAAAAATCTCGAACTACTATTTCGGAAGATTCATCTATTTGACAAATTAGAAGATTATATTCAATTATAGCAAAAAAATATATATAAAAAAACCAATATCAAAAAATCATTCTCATTTCAATAATTAGATTTCAAGACGACAAATCTCGTCTTAGATCATTTCATCATAAATCTTGGAAGCTTTGGGCGCGGCCGTACGCGCAATAAGCGCGGCCATCTAGATAATATAACCTCGACCTATTAATCTAAATAGGCTATAATCGAAATATAAGAAAAAAAATCGATATAGAGGTTCAAAATTTAGATCATTTATTTTACATTACGAAATATAGATATTTCTCTTATTCGTATTTCATAGAGCTAAATTTCAAGAGATCCTCTATATTTTCTTTCATAAAAATATGAACTAAAATTTGAATTCTATAAATATCTCATATATAAATATAAAATGAAGCTAGGGAGCAAATTATATATCTATTCTCTTAATTCTATTAAAATTTCGATATATAGATTTTATATAAAATTATATATAATATAATTCTGTTAACGATTCTAACTATCTATAATTATTAAGAAAATATTTAAATTGCGATCTTTAAGAAAACAAAATTGTTTTTAATTATTTCTTTTTCTACCATCAAAAATATACCGAAATTTTAGTAAATTCATAAAGGATATATCAAAAAATAATATTTATTCATTATATATCAGATATGGGTTTGGGTCTCCAAAGCCGATATAGGTCTATTCATAAAATTTTTTTCCAAAACCAAAGGCCTAGAGATTCTATATTCCAGAAATCCGTCGAAAAAGAAGAAGAAAAAATTTGTCGAAAAAACCAATAAAAAGACCTCAAGATTTTATTCTATTTTATTCTAATTTTTGAAGAAGAACCGAATATTCCAAGATCCAAATTTCTATGAATCCTCTCAAGAGGTCTCATAGAAAAAATTAGATGATCCGACCCCGAGATTGCATTGCGACGAAAACTTACAAGAAACGAGATAAGAACTCTTCCAGAAATCTCCCAAGAAATTGCCAAGGCTTTGTACATATTGGATTTTCAATTTTTGGACAGGTTCGCAACAATAATATGATCCCTTCGAACCTTCCTGCCTGAAGGTGAGACGATCCATGCAGGCATCCATGCACGCCTTCGTGATGCTGCCATCTCTCGTGTCAATTTCTCGAATTCTTCGCCTACTAGTAGAATCGGCCACAGGTCAACCAAGATACGTTCTCTACTTCAGGAGCACGACCAGCACTGTTGTGACAACGAGGCCTGCCGAGCAACCAGCACCACCGACCAGCACGGGATTTGTCCGCAATCGTGCCAGTTGCACAGAACATCGTCAGAATAATTGTAGCCCAGACCTTTGCCGATCCAGGCTTGCAGAAAACACAATCTGTTGGCATCGTTGAAGCTGCAGTTCTGTCAGGGGGTTGGGCCAGTATTGTTGTCACGAACACGAACCAGAACCTCAGAGATGCAAATTCTGTCTCTTGCATGACAACCCTGCAGGTTCTTGGGCAATCGCAGAAGTGGGGCCTGATCGGCACAATCCTGTCGTCGAACGAGGCTTGATGTGTCCGTTTGAATGATATGGAAGGCTTCCGCAGCTCTTTGGCATGTGGGATGGGTGTCCTCCGCTTCCCAGCATTCAACGCTGCCAAACATCAACCAGGCAAACCCGAAGGCGCACAAAGCCAACCTTGGAAATGAGATGCGAACGAATCGTTGGCGGTAGACTACGCCGGACACACAGTTACGTATCCTGTGCCCTTTGCAACGACTGGAGGTGGGTCAACTAGCCACACTGCTACACTATGTGCGACGGTGTTGTTGTATCAAACATTAACATTGCCTCCTACACAGTCAGTCCGCACTGGGAAAGGGAAGGACAAGCAGAATCGCCAAAACGGTGAACCGACCGTGACAGTATGAGGGCAAAGGAACCGTTCAGCAACAAGAGCATGCAACTCTCACGAACAAGACGGCTGGCAAGTTTGGCGAGATCTCACCACCCATACTCTGGACAACTCGGAGTTCAACAAGAGGCCTAAAAAAGGCAACCGACCCACGGAAGAAATTTGGGAGGAAGCAAGCACGGGAGATGAGCCTAGGGTGTTGCCCGGCCACAAGCAAACTGCCCCACGTGCCGAATTACATGCGCTAAGTGGATGCCAGCGAAGCTGTGACTGCCAAATCACTTGACCTTGAAATGTTCAGCCAATGCTCGCAAGCTACAAGCCCAAACTCCACATTTTGGGCCAGAGTTCAAACCCACCTTCATGTCCTGACTGGGTCAACTCTCATCTTGATCTGGATGACTTCTCGGACAAGATCGGAGCGAATCTTGTTTGGGCATGTGGCATATCTTTCAAGCATGCTGATCATTATACCCACTCCTTTGGCTATGAGGGGGCAAAACTGTGCCTTGTAGATGAAGGCTCACTCTCAGGATGCTTTGCTGGCTTTACATGGAATGAACTCGACTCAAAGCACAATGCCACAGAAGCTGAGTAAGTGCAGGACTCGATGCAGATCGCACCACGGAAAGTCCTTCGGCCTACAGACGCCTCAGGAGCCGCAATGTCATGACTGCTCCTCCCGTGTTTCAAGGCTTCAGAAACTGTGACCGCTGCCAAGATCATGCTGCTAGGCCAACCAAGCACAAGCCATCCGAATAGCCAAACCTTGTCACTTGCGGAACACACCTGCATTGCCTGTTCTAGAACGGCCAACCAGACCTTGAGGTGCAGGGAGGCATCGCATTTGTACGGCCAACTGGCCAGCAACACGTACAGAGCCTCGGTGAGCACGGCCAGGAGGCGACTTTTTCTCCAAACTCGTCTTCCGTGAACTCGGCAGCTGAATCCCAAGCAGTCAACCTCGCAGCAGCTTCGCACTCTGAGCCCAAAGTTCCGGAAGCGAAAAGCAGGGGAAGTGAAGTCTCCCGAGGGCGCAGCGCTGTCAAGAATCCTACCACATAGCGATGCCACCCGGGTACAACGGCCTGTTGCAAGAGCACTACGACCGCACTCGGGCGTCTTCTTCTCCGGTCAAGCCTCATCGAGCTGTTTCTCCTCGGTCGGGCAAAGCCCTCGTATTCTGCGAACTTGTATGAACTTGTGCAAGTCTAGACCATGCAAGCACTGAACAAGGCCACGCTTAGCGCCCAGCTGATACTGCATCTCGTGTGGCTGCCATGCTTTGCTTGCCAATATCGCAACTCTCTCCACTTTCTGCTACAGCACACCGTGACGCAGCACGTACTGCACAAAATCATGCGGTCGGAGTCGTGATCCATGAGGGACATTGGTTTTAGGGCTTCTGGTTAAGGGTATGACACACTCCAAATGAACAAGCTTGCAAAAGCAACAGCAATGTATGCGCAGTGTGTGCCAGAGCCAGAGACAGCTGATTGCAGTAGAAGCAGTGCCATGTAGTGCCATGCACCGTTGAAGCAAAGCTTTGTGCAGCACAACAAACAATCTTTCGCACAGCCACTGTCCGATTTTAACCGCAAGCTGCTACTCGAGCAACCTCCGCGTTTGGCAGCTGTGCTGCATGTCAGCATGGACGTTTGGGAACCGCTACGGAGGTGGTTGACCCCCGACTGGTGAGACAAATCGCTGCAACTGCTCGCCGATATGCCGCAGGGCAGATCCAGGCACACTCACCCTGGGCAGATGCTGCAGATGTAGGTCGTTGAACACATTGGCACAGTGAAGTTTCAGGTTGAGACTTTGACGTGGCACAAAGAGAATTTAACTTGGCCACACACTCTGGTCGGATCCCAGAGGCGTACTGCAAGGACGAGGCATCGCTAGCAGCCTGATGGTGACAAAGAGTCTTTAGCCCATGTCAGTCCTTAGAGGTGCTTTCGGCACTGAGCTCCGTGGCCGCTGCTGCCAGGACTTCTGGGTCCCCACGGAGCTCTTCCGAGGCATAGGCCAGCGCTACTCCATCCCTGCACACGGGCATTCGCTGCGTGCGATCTGGGGCTGGAAGTCCTGATGTATCGCAAATGGCCTTCGTACTGCAGCAAGCACGATCTCGCGATCGCTCCGAAACTCGTTGCCTTTCGGTCAGAGCCGCACCGAAAACTGGTCGGGTCCCTTTCTTCGACGATATGACGGCGTGACTCTACTTCGGGCCAGTTCAAGATGAGCTCTCCGCCCGCATAAGCTAAAGCCGTCCCGGTGCAGCGAACAGCCGAAAGCCTGGCTGCAGATGGAAATTGCGTTTTCACATGTTGTTAATTACATTGTTACATACCGACAGGTTACCGTGCGGCAATATATACGCATGTATGAAGCTTGGACTTTGGCACGAAGCTGCGACTGTGGCGAAGATCCTGAAGATGTCGTATGAACTCCGAATGCATGGATCGCTGGGCTCACCGGATCTCTGCTCTCAGCTCCGGGTCCTCGCAAGCATGGCGCAGCGCCTGCCATGCAGAATTCTGGGTGACCGCAACCTCACGCCCTTGCACCCACGCAGCTTCAAAAACTTTCCCACTGTCGTCCAGCCTCCGGCTTGCGCTGCAAAGCAGTGAGCACAATTTCCTCCTTGCCCCTGAAGGCATCCTCCTGAGTTTGAAGCGAGGAGGCTGGGCAACGTGGAACCACTGCATTCGGAGAGCAGCAGTGCTAAGCCGTGCTTGTCCTTCACACATGCAGGCAAGACACAACATAGCGAAGAGCAGCACCATTCCTCTTAACTGCTGACAACACCTTGGGTTGTACAGCAAGGGATCGCCCGGAGCAGATGGACCCGTAGTAGACTCCGAACCGCAGCAGTAAGTTGGGTTGTCAGTGGCCAGCACATTATGCCCGCCTTTGAATAATTTCACAGGAGAAGGCCGCTTACATACATGTGTCCGATGGGGTTTGTAGTCAGCAATGTCTTCTGCACCACAAAGCGCACGAACGTGGCCAGCCGAGCCGAGGCAAGGACGAAATCCGCGTCCTGGAAGCACTTAAAGACTTAATCCATGTGCGCCGTTCCCCTTTCTTTGGGTGTCACCATGCCTTTCTAAACTTGTCGGGCACGTAGATGAGAGCCTCTGCGCTGGCCTGTACTGACCGTTGTGCCAGGCGAAGCGGCTCCGAAAGGCAACTTGGAAAGGCCTCCACCGCTTGGAGTAAGAAGTCGGAATCAGCAAGCAAGCTTGTCGCCTTGGTGGACATCTCTGAAAACCTCTCTAGAGGTGACTGCGAGCAGAGCTGGGAATGCTCTGTAAGCCGCCAGCACAGGATGCCAGTGCTTGACCCCGCTCACCGACTGCGGCCAGCATGAAGTTCCAGTCCGCCCTGATTTCCTGCCACGGCGGACTCCGCATGGGCAGCAAGTCCGGAGCATTCCGGAGCAGGGGTCTGGGGAATTTGAGGAGCCTCGTCGACTTGTAGCAACGCATCTGGGTTTCGGCGAGCTGCCGCGAGCAGGAAAGAGCGATCAGACCAGAGCTCCTCTGCAGCTCCAACACCGCGGCACCGAAAAGCGTTCACTCGGCGTTGAAGCTTCGAGGCCAAGCTCACTCCTCTGGAACATACGGCAATGCCATTGCGTTGTGACCTGGGATTGAGGTGCTTCGTTTCAACCGGTACAAGCACCTCGTCGTGGCGGGGTGTGCTTGAATCATGTCTGCACTCCTGCAAATATGCCGAGGACCAGGCTCAATGCCTCGAGGACGAATTGTCGATCTTGGCGCATGAACTCGCCCGCATAACGCAACGCAGTGCCATCCTGTTCGGATTCATCGTACATGGACTTCTTGAACCATGCTTGAAAGAGTTGAAGTGACAGAGAGCCAGGCATTCTGAATTGCAGCCAGAACCAGTGAGTGATCGTAGCCTTGTTAATCGCAGTGATTCGTCTAAAGAGTGATAACACGCTGTTGTCTGAGAGTTGTTGCTTTGTGCTGGAAATAGTGAGGGCGGGTCGGAAGATCTCATCGGTGAATCGCAGCACATCACCGTTCCTCACAAGAATCGTTGAATGGGCAACGAACGATTCAAGTTGGAGCCCGGATCGAGCAGAGCGCGAACATTACAGTGGACTTGCAAGCCCCAGCTTTCCTCTGAACGGCATCGTACAGGAACATGCGATCCTGCACAGCAGACTGGGAGTATGACGGTCAAGGAGGTTAAGGCTGCGACGAGCTGAAAAATGCGCCATGCTGCAAAAGTACGCCAAGGCCTCTTGCAGCTGCTCTGGACATCTCAGCAGCGCCTGATCACTCCCCCAAAGCATGTCTCAAGGTCTCAAAAAAATGAAAAACAGCCAGAAGAGTCCTAATCTGCTACAGAAGTATCTTCTGCATTGGAAGTCGGAGTGTTGACACAGACACAGGCTTGGCAAGCCAAAGCATCAGGCGCGCCACACCTCGCTATTTCGCTCGATCGCGGCCAAGGCAAAGTTGCGATCCTGCAGCAGTTCGCAGTGTCATGGATTATCCTGCTTTCTCGGAACAAGCTGCAAGTCGTTCTCGACACCTCCCAGAGGGAGGAGTCCACGGCTGCTCGCACATTCCGAGCTACAGCAGCCAGCGCCACCTGGTCATCGCTTGGTCAAGGAGCGACTGTGGCATGTGGCAGTGCGAATCTTGCCCGCATTGCAAAATGGAGCATGTGCAGGCTGAGGTGCCTCGCGGTTGCTTTGCAAGTCGGCTGCGGCATAGGCCAGAGCAATGCCGTCGTGCTGAACAGCTGCAAGCACAGCCTAAAATCGCAACCGTGGAATGCATGTGTACCGACCAAATGGGACTGATTTGCTGAGCCTGGCCTCGCGGTCTTTGCGAAACTGCTGAGGAGCATAGGCGAGCGCCGCGCCTGCCCTCGGCAAACCAAATGGCTGATGCCTTCGTGTTGTCTTTGACCTCGGTAAGATCCTGGCCTTCTCAGTGCCTTCAGAATGAATTCCCGGCTTCGACGCAGATCCTGCTTGACCAAAGACTTTAGCAGGCTTCATATGAAAACTCCTTGCCGAAGTGCTGTCTTGGCCTCGTGGACGTAGCGCATTGCTTCAGGCCGGCTGTGCACTGCCGCAAGTGCCACCTCTCAAACCAGGATGTCCAAAATCAGCAAATGCTCCACGATGGAACAAGACCTCCTGGTCTTGACGAAGATTCTCTGCAATGTGCGGCAGTGCCATTCCATTCGTTTTCAGCACCTCACTTGGGAAAGCCAGACTTGATTGGCGAAGGCAAGGCGCCTTCCAAGTTGTAAGACGGTACAACAAGCGCAAGTGGACAAGTTAATCGAGAGCAGGGCCTCAACTTTCCTGACCTATTTAGACCGTGACACGACTTGAAATTACCCGCTGAGCAGGTGACAGAGATGATGAAGTCTCTGTCCTGTCAACTCGGCACACTTCATAGAGTCATAAGCTGGACCATGACGATCGCATCAAGCTCCTTCTGCAGGTCCGGAGATGCACACTGCAAGGCTGCTCCCGAAGCTTTGGCGGCCTGCAGCTCAAAGAGCTATGCCTAAGACACGGTGTAGATGACAAGGGACTGAGCATCAAACGTCTCGAACAAATTCCGGGTCCTCCGGAAACAATTGACATGTGGCAGAGGAGGGTCACTAATCCGGTTTAAGGAACGTCGCGATCTCCTGCCAAAGATCTTTGCTGACGGACTGTAAGATGTTGCTGTTGGCCTGTAGAGCCTGCAACATGAAGTCAGAGTTGCGCCTGAGCTGCTTGCATTCCGTTGCAGGACATCGCAAGCAGGCTGCAGAGGTGAAAGAATGAGGCCGAAGCCGCAGGCTGGCATCAACAAATTCGAAAACCCTGGGCCGGGGAGACAGAAAACAACGAGTGCAAAGGCAAAAGCAGTGCCCAATTCGAGATGATGCAGTACGAACTATGAACCAGGCCGAGAGTTTCTTTGTAGAGCATGCAACATGAAGGACGGATCCTGAAAGACGATCTTTGCAGCATTGCTGCAACTGACATGGACAACTAGCGCGACTGGTACACGAGCATGTGCCTTGCCTCCCGTAAGTAATCAACAACGTATGGCAACACCTGCACCGCGAGATGAATGTAACAGGAACATCCGTTTACGAAACAGCGCCCTCATCTGCACCTCAGCGTTTCGCTGAAGGGCATTCAATACAAACTCCCTGTCACCGCGCAGCGCTTCGTCTACGTAGCGAAGGGCTGCCCCATCCTCAGCAAAGCGGGCAACCCAAGACACT